GGGAGGTATTCCACCTTGCCATTACGTTTGCATATTCCGCAATTGCTGAGCTGAGCTACGAGTTACAACATTGGAAGTCAAAAAAGAGCGATTGAGCTTTGGTTGCTGGGATTCGGTTTGTCCAACCAGTCGACCTTTCACAGAACCGCCCAGTCTGGAACACGAAATAAAGAACGTTAGAGAAGAAAGTGAGGAGGCAAACCAAGAGCAAACCTCAAAACAACCCGTCGCAAAAAACAAGCAACCGCGCACAGAGTCGAAGAAACCCCGCCAAAACCCCGCCAAAAAACTCCGATCCAAACCACAAGAAAACTCGGCCTAGAGTGAGCGTAGCTTGCAGTTCCTGAAAATGGAAACTCTGGTTATCCTGAGTCCCTTTTCTGATGAGAGTAAGTTCTGCAGTTCCAGAGTGGGGAGACGCTTGATTGCCTGAGTCCCCCTTCTGATGTGCGTAGCTATGTCACTCGTCCGTACATTTCACTAAGTCTCACCTACATAACGGTTTGAAGAAGAGGAGGCTGGGTTTTGTCTGGTGTTGGGGGGTGTTTTCTGGTTCGGTTGGTTGGGGTGGGAGCTCCGAGAAAAAGAGCTGAAGGGAGGAGGAAGAAGATGTTCCCGAAATTTAAACCGAATGACATGGGCCATCCCAGATAGAAGCACCCAGCTGGGCTGAACAACATGTCGTAGGTTGGTCAAGACAATGACAATGCACGTTGTTGAAGTCGACTTGGATTCGATCATGGCATTTTGCTGTTGCGACATAGCCTTGTGGGCTTGAGCAGGCAACTGTGCGCGCGAGAGCGAGCAGCATTTCCGAAGCAACTACTGCCATTCAAGACTGTATAATTCCAATATCTTCATGGGCACGGCATAATTACAGGCAGTCATATGAGGTCATCAGTGTGTTAATCGAAGCGGCTTACCAACTTGGATTCAAGACCTGTATGGGCAGCTGACGTCCCGCCAACAAGCAAGGCCACTCGGGATATTGCAGTCAAGCTGTCTTGTCTTGGTATTTGCCATAGACAGTTGAATCAACTCTAGCTGAAGAAGCTCAACGGGAAGGCTCATGGGACAGCTGTGCGGGCTCGGCACCGAGGAGTTGCTTGCACACAGCAGAGAGGTGCGCCGGAAAGAAATTTTTGTATCAGGATGTACATGCGTTAACAATGGTGTAGGCATACCAGCGCTCGTATCCCAAGATCAAAGCTAAACGCTACCCCAAACCTGCACTTCGGCCCTTTGACTTCAAAGCTTTGCACACACTTGCCCAGCCCCTGCTGTGAACTTTGTTCCGAGGCCCGGCGTTCTCTGCGATCTGGACAAGGCTTGCTGCTGGGGCCCGCAAGCCGGTTTTCTGAAGCGGCGAGTCAGGTAAGTGGCGACCGTCGTTGGCCAGACCCCTAGGGGCTTGCTGGCACAATCCTGCACGACCCTGCGCGACCCTGCACAAGGTATGTAAGCCATGGGTTTTGCACTGAGGAGTGGCGATGGTGACCAGGCACCGCCTGGCGATCAGATTTGTTTTTCCAACTACGTAAGTTGATTTTGGAGCAATCTGAGAAGGCACGGCTGTAGTATCCGTATTTCAGTGCATTCCTTGCGTCATTGCGGAAGGCCTCGCGGAAGGCCGATCAGCTAGCGCTTGAGCTGAGGATGCTGAAGGTCAGAGCCCCTCCGTCCCACCCGACATTCCCCGAAAGGAAGAGGCAAAACACGATTGCAGCACTTGCCGTCACTTGCTGTAAGAGCCGCTCTGTGAGCCATTTTGCAAATGGGAGTCAGGACGAAAACTACCGCATTCGTGAGGCCCCCTGCTCAGCTCTGTTTCTTCAGAATGTTGCTGCTGTGATTGCGATAACTGACGACAACTGGTAGTGACTGTCAGTGTTTCGCAGCTGCCTCCTAAAAGACCCGACTGTACCGGGGTATCATTCCAACCTATTTCTCATGCGGAGAAGCCCCAGGGAGCAGTATGCCTGCAGACATCAATGCTCCTGCGTCCGTTGAGAGACTTGTCAGCTCACAAACTCTAAGCTGCAAGGGTGCCAAAAAGTTGACTCCAGCTTCAGTCTAGTGGCCAGGAGCAGTTGCGTTTGGAGAAGGAGCTCCGGGCCAGGCGTCAGTGGTCGAAGCCATCGAAGTGGTCAGAGGCTTGTGGGAATGTTGGCTTTCTGGGGGCACTCCCGGCAAGGAACACGTTGGAGTGCAAGCTTGGGGAAGCAGCCCCTTTCATCTGAAGCAGGTTAGCTGGGATTCTGCGGAACCCGGTAGGAACCATGACAGGCCTCGGCTTGTCTTGAGTTTACTGCAGTTGCTGAAGCAAAAGGCCGCTGGCTCACCACAGCTACAGATTAGTGGCCCGGCGCATTATCTTCGACTTGCGATGGCGTATCCCAGCATGGACAAGATCTATCAGAAATCAAGCAGCGCAGAGTATGAAATGGAGGTGGAAAAGGACCTTGCTGGTCACACTACGCAGGGTGCACATGGTGTGAACTATCACCATGCGGCCGCCGGCGATCAGGGCAGCACTTTCTTCATGCCTTGCAAGTCGCTGCTTGGGGAGGGTGCGCTCGTGGGGGCCGTTTCCCAGGTCAAGGCCCTTGGACAGAAGAAGGCCCTGATCGTGACAGATGCTGTGCTTGTGAAAGTAGGTGCGGCCAAGGCACTAACAGAAGTTTTGGATGATGCGGGCATCGGCTACGTCATCTATGATGGCTGCCTGCCAAACCCCACAGTGGCACAGGTTGATGCAGGAGTGAAGATGCTGAAGGACAACAACTGCGACTTCGTGGTCTCCTTCGGCGGCGGCTCCCCGCACGATTGTGCCAAGGCCATCAGTATGCTGTGCGCCAATGGTGGGAGCATCAAAGACTACGAGGGTGTGGACAAGAGCACAAAGCCAATGCTGCCTCTCGTGGCTGTGAACACCACAGCAGGCACCGGAGCAGAGATGACCCGCTTTTGCATCATCACGGATGAGGTCAGACATGTGAAGATGGCCCTGGTGGACTGGCGATTGACTCCGACCCTGGCAGTGCCTAGAGTTGGGAAGGATTCCTTGTTGTTTTCTAGTAGTTTAGACATGCTTCTTATCAAGTACTTTTTTCAGTTTTTGTTAGTTTAGGTGAATGACCCCAAGCTGATGGTGGGCATGCCCAAGGGCCTCACGGCAGCCACGGGCATGGATGCCCTGACCCACGCCATTGAGGCCGGGATTTGAAAATAGCTCTCCGTGTGCAGATTTTCGCAGAATCTTCGGGCCTTGTCTGGCCCGTTGTGTAATCTGATCCTGCTGACTGGTTGTTCTGTGACACTGGCCTGCATGGCCTGTGAGGCCTACGTCAGCACAGCCTCAAACCCGATCACCGACGCCAGCGCCTTGCACGCCATAAAGCTGATCGCAACGTACCTGCCCCAAGCGGTGGAAAACGGTAAGAATATGAAGGCCAGAGACATGATGGCCTCGGCAGAGTTCCTGGCAGGCATGGCCTTCAACAGCGCTTCTCTGGGCTATGTACATGCCATGGCCCATCAGCTGGGAGGCTTCTACAATGCAGCCCATGGCGTTTGCAATGCTGTGTTGCTTCCAGTGGTGCAGAAGTACAATTCCCAGTATGTTCCAGAGCTCTTCATTGATATTGCCCATGCCATGGGATTCACCGAAGTTGGTCAGGACAAAGCGAAGGCTGTTGAAGTGGTACTGAAGTCCATCAAGGACCTCAACAAGAGGCTCGGCATTCCTCAGAACATCAAGGAGCTCGGCGCCAAAGTGGAGGACTTCCAGTTTCCAACTGTTCATTCTTAACAGCCTAGTGTGTCAGGTTTATTCCAGTAGTCCCACACGGAAAAGATTCAGTGGGGCCCTTGGAGGATTTCGAGAAGCTGGCAGACAATGCCATGAAGGACGCCTGCGGACTGACGAACCCGCACCAGCCCACTCGCGAGGAGGTTATCGAGCTTTTCAGATTGGCGTACGAGCAGCAGTACTGAGTACTGAGATGTAGCCAGCTTGGCGGATTCCACAGTTTTAAGTCGGATCGGCGTATAGTTTCACATGGCTTTGGTCAGCTGTAATGCTTTTGGCGTCCGATCTGATGCACCGATAGGATCGATTTCCATTTCCAGGGTCACCCTCTTGTGAGGTCAGTCTATTTTGAAAACTACGTGTTACAGCTTTTGTCCGGGCAGCGTTCCTACCGTCCACCTGCTGACGCTAGAAAACACTTGGCCTCAGTGGTGCGTGACGGCGTCTGTTTGGCCAAGCTTGCTGCGCGTGCTGCTCTGGTTCAGCCAGGCAGCTATGGGTCGACATCTCAGCCGTCCTATTGCGCATAGTGGAAGGTGTGTCCTAGGCCCTAGGCCGAAAAGGCCTTCTTCGTGATCCTTCATGCTCTTCATTCTCCTGTAAATTCTCTTCTCTCGCAAAGCCAATCCCCCCAGTCGAAAAATCTCTGCCACCGCTCTACTTCCAGGTGCCCAGCCCGGGGGGCAGAGCATGGGGCGCCAAGGCTTGACCTTGAAATTTGTGGATACCTTTTCAAGGTTTTGCCTCAGGAGTGGCCTAAAGCTTTGAGACAGTCCCCAAGAGTTCACAAAAGGGAACCTGCCGGGACAGGAGCCGACTACCAGCAACTGGCGTGCGCATGGCAGCAAGTCCTTGCGATCGGCATCACTGTGAGGGTTTGGGGGGAGTCTTAAACCCAATCACCCTCATCTCTTAGGGATGATTGTCTCAAGAAGGCGGTTTTTCTATGCCCTCGGTCTTACACCAGAAACAGACGTATGACTCCGAAAATCCTAGTTGCCCTGTGCAGGTACATGAAGGAGGTCATTCGCAGCCTTCAGGCACCTGCTGCTCACCTTGACAAGTCACCTTAACTAATCATGTGGAGGTTTTTTCAAAGTATTGCCCCCTTTTTTGGCGTTGTGTAAGGATTGTATGAGATTGATCATGTTTCCTGATGGCTTTTGAGGAGGAGAATGCGCAGCTCCGTCGCGGGGACAAATCGGCTCGGTGCCCAGGTCACCTCTCAGGTCAGAGAAAGGAAGTCAGGAGGCTGCAACTTTGGTGGCCGAAACATGGAGCAAGTAGGCAGGTTGGCGCAGCCCAACGTCTTCAGTGGGAAAGACTTCTGATCTCGTTGGCGGCCTCTGCATGCACTAAATACCATTTGAGAAATGCACGAAACTGATGCTCGCCGTTGGACGGTGGAGGTCGATTGTAGTGTGACCTTACAAGGTAGCGTAGGGAATTGTAGCACTGCTCAAATCATGGTAGCCGCTTTTTTTGTTGTTGCCGCCCTACAAGAGGCAGCTTGTTTTTTATCCACGGTCATGGAAGCAGTATAGTGACACCAGGGGTCATGAAGTAACAACCATCGAAGGGGGAACCAGAGTTACAGTACTATAGTGACAGAGGCCGAGGGGGCAGTGAAGCCAAGCACGCTTGCGAGTTGACGGCTTGCGGTTTTTATGTGCAGATAGTTGAGAGCCTAGGTGGATCCCTTCGAATAACTGAAGCAACACTGGAATCCAGTCTGGTAATGCGCTGGAATTGTCTGAATTTGTTTTGGAGCCTCCAACTTGGAGCAGAGGTTGCAGGTTCTCCGAGTGTGAGCCAGGACGGCCTGTGACTTGCTGCTTGGAGCCACGGGATTTAGGTCCGGCTTTAGCTATCTTCAGGAGGAGTATCGACAGCTTGAGCGTCAGCTGTGTCCCGGCCGTGCTTGGGTGCAAAGAGACGTGCGATGTATAAGGCACCATAAGGCTATAAGGCAGCTATCGGCCATGAAGCCATGACATGTCATGAGTCCTGCCGAGTTCGGTTGCAGCCAGGCGAGCGCTTCAGCAGCAACAGCTGCGCCAGGCCGGATCTCTGAGCCATTTCTGAAGAAAGGTAGGTGTCTCTGCCATGAAAGAATCCAGAGGTGGGCTCCGCAAATGTCTCCACGGCTGCCACTGCCTCGGACATGATGCAGTCAGATGCAGCTGGATGAAATTCTAGTGGGCCAAAGATTCTTGCGCTCAGGTTTCAGGCGTGTCTACACCCTTGTCGTCTTCTGGCCATTACTTTGGTGAGGCGGAAGCTGTCCCAAGCCTTCCCTGATTTCAGCGCAAGCGAAATCTTGCCAGGAAGCACGTTCGATGCGAGCGCACTACGAGGCAGATCGCGTTGTATCCTTTGGGGTGCAGAACCCCGTGCCCTAGCAATTCAGCCCGGGCCGGGAATGACAAAAACCCTTCAAACACTGCAACATCAAACTCCAGTCCCATAGGACGAGCGGCAGGGACGCCATGTAAACTTGTCCGAGTTCCATCGTTTGCAAGATCCCTATCCCCCCAAACATGGTTTTGCCTTGTGGGCAAATGTCCTTGCAACGTGTCAACATTGACAGGCCCTGCAGAGAGAGCAAGACGAGCTCCGAAACAAGGCCGTGATGACGGTCCCTTGTTGTAGCTGCTGCTGCTGCTGCTGTTGCTGCTATTGTTTTTGTTGTGGTGGTGGTGGTGGTGGTGGTGGTGGTGGTGGTGGTGGTGGTGGTAGTGGTGGTATGGGATCATGGTACTTTCAAGGGTACAAGGTGACCCGCATTTTGGGAGGTGCATTCAGTCCATTAAGCCGCCGTGTTGTACATGCCTGCTGGAATTACTTTGAGTTTTTGCCGCTATTCTGATTGGTGTTAGGATGCGAGCTGTGTGAGACAGTGTGATCCAAGTTGTCGAAGAGTCAGGCTAGTTGTTCTCCCAATTCTGCAAGGAGCAATGCCCCCACCAAATTTGTGCGGCTAAATTGATGCTCGTTTGGGAGTGGCCCCCTGCACCTCCAAAGCAAGTGGGATGCTTCTTCCAGAAACTCTGAAATTAAGCTCTACCTCTGCTCAGGTCCGCAGACTCGCACGAGCATGAGCCTGATGAGCCGAGCCTGAGCCGAGCCTGAGCCTGATCAGCTCGATGCGAGGCATCCAAACCCAACTGTCCGTTTGGCTCAACTGGGAGCAAGGATCTGGGCCCTGATTTTTGTTTGTGAGTTTCTCACAACCAGATCAAGTTCAGACAGCACTGAATAAGTTTCTTGATCCTACCTTTTGCACATCACTTCCTGGAGCCGCTCCAAAAAATGTCTTCCGTTTCATCAATCCTCTGCGTAGCAAGACGCTGGGTCAGCATCCTGAACGTGTGGTGTCCAAGAGCGAGCATCCACGCACATCTCACCCTGCATGACAAACTTGACCTGAACATATTTGACAAAACCTCCGCAAAGAACCAGCAGAATTCAGGCGTGTCCTGAAGCATTTCTTGCTCATGGCCATTTGTCACACGGAGGCTATGCTGCATGGAACTCCCCCCATCAAAACATTTCAGAAAATCTGAGAACCTGGAAGGCCAGCCAAGGACACCAAGTCCTCCCAGCCAGATTTCTATTCTGTGTCCGTGCATCCCAATTTCGTGTCGTGCAGCATTTTGCCA